TTATAAATATATTTCAAAATAGTTTATCTATATATCCATGGTGCTTTTTAAAATGAACTATATTTCTCTGATAATGATTTTGTAAATGTTTCATAATGTATAAATTCATATATATGTACATAAAAGATAAATATCGTTATATAAATATATAAACAACAAAAAATATAGAATTATTATATTATAATAATCATTTGAATAGATAATTAATTAGTTAGSCTAATCATCATTTATATATTTTTAAGAATATTCTTCAAGCGCTAAAATGAAATTTAATAAATATCTTAAATAGATTTATTGTATGCTTGCGGAAAATATTTAATACAATTTTACTTTTTTATTCTTTTACAGATTTCGAATGGAATATCTTAGACAGAAGCGAAGCTGGTTTGTTTTTGTTTAATAATTAAAAACAATGAAGTCAAAAAATACAAAAAACTTGAAAATGAAATAAAAAGATATTGTTTAATAAATATAATGAATATTGGAGTACATTATATATTCCCGATATTTAAGCATAATCCCCAAATATCTCTATCAACTCGCATTCATCTAATCCATGGCAATTTCAAACTGACCCAAACATGACAGTCACTGTGCTGCCCATTTCAAACGTATTTCCAGCGCCCGTCCAGTCCAGTCCAATTGTAACCCCAGTGAGCGAAGCGTAAAAAAGTCATTCGATACACTTCAAAATTTGACCTAGGCACAAGCACCAGCACAGCACAAAAATGCTTCAGCTGAAGAGAGGAGAAAGATATGAAAGCAAAATTGCACACAAATCTTCCATCGTTTAACGTAAATAGAATTTATCAAATTTAATTTCACGCTTCATGCGCTCATTTCGATTTAACTTTTGAGTAGCATAAAAAATAAAAAGTAAAAAAAAATAAAGAAGAGGGCCAATGAATGTCAAAAAATGTGACCAAAAATGACATTTGGCTCTTTGCTCGCCCCCAAGTGTTGGCGCCAATAAATCTAAGGGCAGGAGTTGCAGATAGTAGAGCAGGACTATCCAAGGAGCAGCGTTTGACATAATAATAGTGAATGCCGGAATCGTAGAGTAAAAATCAAATGATGTGGGTTGCCAGTGAAATGGGATGCGAATTGGTTTGGCCAAAGTTATGAAAGCAAATATTTGGGCACATGTGCCAAAAGCGAGAGGCCGGAGCACAGCCCCACTCATATTTTGCATATGCCCTATGCCTATGCGGCTGTAAAAACATGTCAAGAGCCAGATACGAACAACAAGAGGAAGAGGCAGAGGAAGAGGAAGATATGGCAAAGAAAACAAAACATTTTCGTGTCAAGTGTTGTCGAGAAGCTGTTTTTCAGCTTGACTTGCTTTTTGACTAGGGTTACGGCAGCTCCGCAACGTTCCGCTCCTGCCTCCTGCCTCCTGCCGCTCCCACACCCTGCTCGCCTTAGTCATAATCAAAAATGTATTTAATTTGACTTTATTCTGTGCTGTTTAAACTTTTCGGCGGTTCGCCCATACATTTTTGATATATGTGCCGTGCATAGTGATATGGTGTGGAAAATTACTTTGTATTTTAATGAGTTGTCTGTGATTTTGTGAGCCGGGGCTGGCAAGTAGGTCCTGGCAAAGTTGGTCCTCGAGATAAATTGCTGGCAGCTGAGTGGGGCGTGGGCGTAGCCTAATGGGCTGATAGAATGGCCTGATAAGAAGTCAAGTGAAACTATCAGGAATAACAGTAGATTAACAGCTGTAACCATAAATAACATGAAAACGCTGCGCTTGCGGTCGGTGCGTTGACACGCTGTGAAAGCGGCGAAACGTAATAGAGAGAAGGTTTCCTTATAACTGGCATAGGTTATTTTCTGTTCAATAGCGCCTCGAGCACTACACAGTAAATTAAAATTAAAATATTTACACACATTCTTAGCTGAAGATCTCAATTTGCCTGCAAGCGCTGAGCCACAATAGATTAGCCATTTATCTATGGCAGCGATCGGAGCAGCAGTAGTCCAGACTCGCTGCCCTCAGGGCTGGCATTTAATAGTGGCAATGTTTATTAGAAATACGACAAGTTGTAGGCCAGGGGATTTGGCTCACCCGCTCCCTCCCCCTCCCCCTCCCCCACCGCTCTTGGCAACACGTTGCAGGCGACAGTCGCAATTCGCAATTCGCATTGGCAAGCCAAAAAGTTGCCAAGTGCAGCGAGGCGTAGCTTTTTTAATAGAGTCATAACTTGGCCTCAACTAATGGGGGCTCGCCGAGCAACTGAACCAGGCCCGGTCTGGCCCAGCCCAGTTCAGCCCAGCCCGGCCCGGTCCAGACTTTGCTTAGCAATAACATAAAGCCCTCGTTTTTTGCCCCTGCCTCTTCTCTACAGTTTTTTTTTCGTGGGCACGACTTTGGTTACAATTCAATTTGCAGCGGGCGCTTTTCTTTGGACTCTTTTTCTGTAGTGGTCTGTGGCCTTAAAAATTGTGCCTCGCCACCTGGTGTGTCTGTGTTAGTGTCGTAAATGTGTGGAAATTGTGGGGTGTTATGCCTTCCAGTGCTGCAGTGTGTGGCCAAGTGTGGCCAACTCTCGGCTGGGCTGGGCGCTGGCACTGTGTGCTGCAGTGGCTGGGGCTGTTGTTTTATTATCTGGACCTTGGCAGGGGACTCGCATAATTGTCTTGGGCAAAGTGTGTTCGTGTAAAATTTTAATTGCTTTTTAGTGCAAACACTTGGAAAATTTGTAGTTTTCGTTGTCTGACAAGATCCGAGCAACAGGCCAAATGTCAAACATGTTAGCTGACACTGATTGGAAATCGCTGAACATGACAAGCCGCTGTATGACAGGGCATTTATAGCCTAAGCATTGTAGGAAAGTAGAGAAATGTAGTAGAGAAGTAGGAATTGAGCTGGTAGTGGAGTGTGAGAGGTAGATGACAGGTCGGAAGATAGGAAATTGAGGAGTAGAGGTATATAGGAGTAGACGAATAAGTAAGTAGAGGAAATATGTAGATAAATATAAGAAGTATATGAGTAGATGATGAGTATAAGAGGTAGAGAGGAGTATAAGGGATAGACAAGTAGAGGAGGTGGAGAAGGTGAATGTGGATAGCGCTTAGAGTTGAGGATTAGAAAATATTTAGAAGTAGAGGAATAAAGGAAGTAGAGGATATAGAGAAGTGTAAGAAGTACACGAGTAGAGGAGGTAGAGCAATATAAGAAGTAGATGAGTATAATAGGTATATGAGTATATGAGAGTAGAGGTCTTGGAGTATAAGTATAAGAGGTGCAGAAGATATTGCGAAGTAAAGGTATATAAGAGTAATGGAATAAGAGGAAGTAGAGGTGGTACAAAAGTAAAAAATGTACATGAGTAGGACAGGTCGTTGAATTGAGGAGTAGAGGAAATTGAAGATAAGAGGTACATAGGGCCATAGAAATAGAGAAAATAGAGAAATATAAAACCTAGCCGGATAGAGGAAGTGGACGGGGTAAAAGAAGAGATTAGGTTGAGTGGAAGCATATTGAAAATTGAGGAGTTGAAGAGGCAGACAAAAAATACAAGTAGAGCAGTACAGCAGGTTGAGGAAGTAGAGAGGAGGATTATCCATTTGATCTAAGCACTTTAGAAAAGTCAAGCTAATATTTCCCAGTTAATATTTCCCTTCAATCAAGGGCTTAAGGTCTTGCCTTTGACTTTCTGTATCACTCTTCAACTTTAATTAAAGCTTCATAATTCACTGGGCGGCTATTAAATAGTTGCTCCATCAAGCACTTTGTTAAACAAAATCTAACCGACGACCTCGATGCGAGCTGACCGCAACCACAACGACGACCACGCCTCCGGTTTAAATAGGCGACAGTTCACCTTTTTAATGAGGCAAGAAGTTGATGCCACATAACGAGGCCATTATCTGCCATTGTGTGGGTGTTTGGGGCACGCAACTAAAGGGATACGGGACGTGCGACTGACTCTCGCGGTTTAGTGAGTGCTAAGCAACCGGTGAAGACAATGCCGACAAAGCCTTGGCCGAGCTTTATTGTTATTTTAATTAGAAAACTTAGTGGCAGTCGACGGGCGCTGCTTCCATTAAGACTTTAATTGATTTAAGGCCTTGGCCGGTTCGGCAACTGCAACTATGCAGCGCTTTTTACAGCATTGAATATCAGAAATGTTATGATGTATTGCAGCAGCTTATGCACTTGAAAAAAGCAGCAAATGTATGAAATTCTGCTGCGAAAAACAAGGGAAATTCAGACGAACCACAGAAATTTGTTCGTTGCGAGCGAGGCAACCAGAAAAAAACAAGAAATTCCCAAAAGTATGCAACACGCCCGTAACATGTGCAACACCACAACAACAGCCAGGCATTCAAACTTACACACACACACACACACATTCCCATTAGCCAGGTGTTGGTGCGAGTGAAGACGGACTGCAGACGGACGCAGAGCGTGGCAGGAGGATAGAAAGACAAACCGCAAGCTTGGCCAGCTCCCTTTAAAAAGTAGCTTTTTATTTTTGTTCATAGCTCGGAGCTTCCTACACGAAATAGTTTTATAGCTACCCGGCAACGGTCACTCAGTGCGAGGGTAGCAGCAATGGCCAGGGGTGGGGGAGGGAGGCATGCAACGCACTGTGAATACTCTTTGGTTGATATATGATATATGTAACGTAAGTACAGAAAAGAGCTATGAATTTTAAGCTCTTTATTTATTTAAGCTTCAATTTATCTTAATTTAAAATTAGTTAATATCATAACACTTTCGTAATGGTGTTAATTAAAAATTTTATTTCTATTTTATTT